GAAAAATGATAATGTGACGTTAGCTACTTTTCCTTAAGAATGAATGAAGCCAACGGAAAAATCCAGTGATCTGGTCAGAATTCGAACTCATTAGGATCCAGTAAGTACAACACAGTAATAACAAGTGGTGATATCAAAGTTAAACAAAACTGGTTAATAGAATTTATAGTAAAAAGGGCAAAATACGCCGCCAAGAACAGGCGGGAGATAAATTTGGTTGCATGCAGATCCATCATCACATTACATAAATATTTGTTGCTGCTCTTTAGGACAAGTAAAACCTTAAAAAATAAATATTGATGAGTTATATAAGGATGGTTTTCAATGAACAACTTGTACAGCAAGCCTTAGCAGATTGAGGCATTTTTGAGTTAAAATCCACTAACCATATTAGCAGCCCCCAATTCCTTTTGAAACAACTCAAACTCTTCATCCATTTTGTCTCTGTATGGAACATTTCTCGCCTTGGAAATAAGATAAATAATGAACGTACGCGAGCATCTTTGTAAGGATCATCGAAAAATCCTTCAGGAATCTTGGGGGTATTTTCAGACACATCCTTCTGCACTGCCGTCTTCGGCAAATTATGAGAAGAATCATCAGTAACGCAAGCCTCAATATCTCCTTTGTCTAGTTGGCAATTGTCCTGGTCTGAGTTACTATCCTAACAAAAAGTACTAAGGACTCCAGTACCAGCTTAATAACTTTAGAGAGTGGCTCATTAAGGCCCAAATTCGGCCTTATAGCGGTTTTTGAAGCCTTTTCAGCATTCTGAACCTATTTTAATTAACCCTGACTACCTCCTTGTGTGATTTGCTCAGGATGTGGGCAGTCCATGCGACTTCTGATTTAATTTGCGTACCACAAACGATACAAGAAATTCTCCCAAGATTGTTGTACCTAATAAAACTATTAGCACATCATATTTGGTAGTACTTCGCATGAGGATGTGAGACACGCCTTAATGGTTGTCTCGTCACCTTGATGAGATCTCGGACACCGGGGGCAGGAGGGCGCTCCGCCATGCTTTAGACAGTCCGCGACTCAAATAGATACTATAAACATTAAATAATAACATAACGTTGAATTAATTTTAATTCAATTAATTAAATTTGTATTTATTAACAATAGTTTGGACATTACTTTTTACTAAAGCCGCCAGATTCAGCTCGTCCCTTGGCATTCACGCATGGCTCGATCGAATTTCCTTTCTAAATCTAATGCTACTTTTGCTTCATCTCTTTCTCGAATCACTAGCTGCTCAAATCCCGCGTTTGATAAAGTTATTAAAAGAGCATGGAGTGATCCCGAAATGCAGAAGGAGGTGTTGACAGTATTGTCGGCACTTACTAAAATAATCCATGAAAGAGGCGGAAAAGAATCTGCGGTAGAATACTACGCTCTCCTAGTAAGCTTATTGCTGTTTGAGCTGCTAAGCTTAGCGCTCTAAATGTAGATTCGGAAAAAAAGGTGGCTGAGGCTTTCCTACTGAAGCTAGTGATGACGAAAGCGTATGCATATTTAATTTGGATAGTTCAGTCTTCCTAACTTTGTAGTTCAAAAGACTTCAGGAGAAGCCTCCAAAACTATCATAAATGTATTAAAAGCTGCTTTATCTGGAGAAACTTTTAACACTTCCCTAATTAAATCAGTAACTTCTCTAGTTTTTTTATTAAAAAATAGCTTGTATCTTGCCTTGGATATCTTCTATTGGCGCAAGACTTCGATTCATGGGCAGTAGAGTCGACTAGGCATAATTATCGTGTTCTTCTCGGTCTAGTTGCACATGAGAAGCCAGCCATTCGGAAGGCTTGCCATTTGTCCATAGTAAATATACTAACTTCCTCACCTGGCATTATCGTTGGCGATATTTTGGGATCATCCCATCCATCCTGTCATCAGACACAAGAATACCTTTGTTCTTCTATCCAAGATGAGGCGAAGTAATTTCCTTTTCAATGATTTTGATACACTTGTTCATCTATCTTACATGAATTCATATATATGCATGTATATATAAATATGACTTAATTTATTTTTTAGGCAATTAACAAGTCTTATCAAAACTAGTGACGCTAACTGCATTAGACTCCTCTACCTCTTGGACCTTTTGGCATCTGTTATACATGTTTTTCCCACAAGAAACATAAAAGCAGCCAGCGAATGTATCCTTGACTTAACTGAATTTCCCAATAAAATGGTATGTGTTCCTTTTTCATGAATTTATTTATGCTTTTTACAACGTTCAAATCTCATCATGATTGTTGTCTTATGTGGCCATACATTTGGCATTTTTCTATGGTTAGGGAGTATCGTTTTGCCCATGACCCATTTCTACATAACATAGCTTATATTAGTCTGCACATTTATAAGTATCTTGTGATTTCTCATTAATGCTCTACTTGTTACTTATTGTCTGTATAACGATTTGGAGGTAGTGCATTTGGTTAACTAAACCCAAGCACCCATAACTTTGCTAAGAAGTAGTTGACTTTGAGATACTATTTGTATTTTAAAATGTCAATTTTTGCGCTGAAAACGTGCCCTATAAAAACTTTGATATTTGGAAACAGAATAGCTAACTTTGTTAGGTATATTTGACCACTTTAGATGCTTACCTGACCCAAGAACAGCCTTGTTTTTACTGTATGTAATTAAAAACACCTGAGAGATTATTCTCCGCCTTAGATGTCTATTGATTCCGAAAAAGATATGTTTGATTGGCAATCACTGTGTGTTTATTCAACTTGGTAGACCGGGCCCGATATTTTTATTGAAGTCAAGGTGAATTCCCACTGCTCGAAACAAATGAACAATTATGCTGTAACTCTTAAATATGACCATGTCTTTATGCTGCCAAATATGATGCAGAATTAACCTCACGTTTGAGGTTACATTTTGGGCCTATAGATGCATATCTTGAGCCACTTTGCTTGAAGCGTACCAAATTGAAGTAAATTTATTTCCTCAATTTTCTTTCTAATTTCCAAAATTCTTGATTCTGACTTTTCCCTTGTGTTTAACAGGTGATATTGAAGGTATATACTATTATCAATAATCTCTTTGATGCTCGGCCTTTACCTAGCCGTCTTCCTGTGTCTTTGGCTGGGCGCCTCTTGACAGCCTTGCATGCTTGTAAAGCAACTGCTCCTGCGGTACTTGTCGCCCAAGTAGTCGGGTCTGGAGCCGATGTTGACACTTCCGAGCTCAGTTTGTGTACTGACGTTAGACTTGCTTGGCTTCTCGCTCTCCAAGCTGGCGTCGCTCATCTCACCCGCCAAACAGTTTCCTGCTTGTCGGATAGTTCAATTACTACCTCTGCTGATCGTTCTAGTCCAGCTTTGTTTGTTCGGGTTTCCTGCGATCACTTGGAAACGCTCATAAATTTGGTTCTAAAAGAGATAGACTCAACGCCCATGCAGCAATTGAGGGACAAGATGGCTGATCTTTTATTGGTCATATTTTCACAGGATTTGGTGAGTAAACCTGAATGTTGAATATTTTGCAGGTTGTTTAAAAACTGAAACCACTCTCGCAAGCTTCATTCTTGCCTTTAACCTTATAACGCTTAATCATATTCTCGCTATGCTGCCTGAAATTTGCTTCATGCCTACTCATGCAATCCAAGGGTAAAATAATGATAATAAGAAATACAATACAATATAATTCGATCGCTTTATCAGCAAACTATCGTTGTTCACATCATAGTGGTAATTAGTAATGCGTTTTCAATATTCATTAGATAAGAATTTATTTTGACATCTCCCAGTTTATTCTTAATTGGCTACTAGAGTTAA